AGTCAGAAATGTCCAAATGGGCTAAAGAGTGTTCTCTGGATGCTGAAATACCATCTTGTGAAACAAAAGTCTTAGGACTCAAATACAAAACAAAAGTAAACAAAAAAAGATCTGCCCATGACTTTTTTAACCTTATGGCATAATTTCTAAGTTAAAAAAAAACAAAAAGAGGCCATGTGGTTAGGAAATAATTAATGTCATAATAGGAAAGAAAAAGAACAAACAAGGTCAAAAGAGAGAGCCACGCTGTCCATAAGTCCTTCACACTGTAAACAGCATTCATTGCTCAGAGCACATGCTAGTTCAAAAGAACAAACTCTCTGTATGAGTGTTGGGTGGGACTCAGAGGTCTTTATCCAAATAGAAGCGATTTGCTATTTCACCACAAAATCCAGGCACAAGTACATGCTCCGTTCAACTTTACTTAACACAAAGTGCAACCGACAAGTATTTGTGGAGAAGCTACACAGGCAAGACAGTACCCTCGAGAGGTAGGGAATACATTCCCCCTTCTCCCTGAAGCTTGCAGTCTTCTTGGATTCATCTTATGTATACTGGCAAAAGGGTGGTTTGAGTGAGGAAAATCAGGTATGTCCAGACTGGTGGTTTTTAAGTGACAGGTTGAGGGAAGCCCAATAAATTCCAAACACCTCTAGGCTATTTTCTAGGTCATTTGCCATCTGGTTTACCTATGTCCTCTCCCCATCCCTTCCTTACAGTCTCCACGACATCACACTCAGTTCCTCAAGTAAAGCATGTTCTTTGCTCTCTATGAACCTTCACAAACCCGGTTCCTTCTCCTGAAACAGGCTCAGTTACCTACCATTTCCCCTCCCCATCTCCCTTGCATATGATTTTCTGAGAGTCGTACTTTAGATCTCACAATGATTTTGGAGGGAATTTTTTTTTTTTCTTAAGCTCTCAGAGGGCCAGAGGACTGGGTTTGGGTACTGCACGGCCACATATGGACACATTAAGGAGAAAGGCCCACCACCTATTGCCTCCATTGCCCATCAGCAGCACCTCTGACACTAGGGACTGCACACTAGGAATGAAACCACAGCTATGTGAGGACGGGAGCCCCCTTTACAATCTCCTTATGCATGGCCGTCACCTCACAATGCTCATGGCTGTCTCCAAGTCTTGTAGAGATGTCCTAACTACAAAGAAGCCTGGGCAATGCAGTTTTTAGTTTCACAGCCTCTATGATGTGGATGTTACACCAGGAGGGCATGGGAATGGCACTGAGTGTGCTGTCTTACAGGGGCAGCTATTTGCTTCACCCAGAGCATAGAAGAGCCAGGATTTAAATTCTAAATTCCAAGCCCATGAATTGAATTTTTCTCTACCCTATACTGGAAGTTACTGGGTGGATTCAGTATTTTCTAGCCTCCTCAGGCCCACAATTCTTGAGATGTGTGGTTCTTCCAGGTTTACTAGCAGAGGAACACCTAAGCTTTAGATTTTTGGACTCCTCATAGCCTTCTTTTGTCTCCCTTGAGGATGAACATAGAACCTCTAATGAGTGACACTGTCTAGAGGAAGGAGGTGGCTGGGCGCGGTGGCTCACGCCTGTAATCCCAGCACTTTGAGAGGCCAAGGCAGGCAGATCATGAGGTCAGGAGCTCAAGACCATCCTGGCTAACACGGTGAAACTCTGTCTCTACTAAAAATACAAAAAATTAGCCAGGCGTGGTGGCGGGCGCCTGTAGTTCCAGCTACTTGGGAGGCTGAGGCAGGAGAATGGCATGAACCCAGGAGGTGGTGCTTGCAGTGAGTGAAGATCATGCCACTGCACTCCAGCCTGGGAGACAGAGTGAGACTCTGTCTCACACACACACACAAAAAATAAAGGTAGGGGTAGGAGGTGCTTTAAGGAGGCAATAGGACAGGATCTAGGAAAAAAGTTAGGATGATATTGAATAAAGGTCAAATATCGTGGCTACCATTCATTGGTTAGGCACCTGGCATGTATTAACTCTGATTCTCCTAGCAATCCTTCAAGGAAAACAGTGTTACCACTTTCTTTAGATGAGGGAGTCTTGATTTTACAGTAAAGACACCTGATCAAAGTCACACAGTCAGTACGTGATGGAGACAGAGTCAGAAGGCAGGTCTTTCTGCTCCCAAGACTAGACATTCCTAGGTGAAGAAAATAACAAAAGGTATAGGTTATAGAGTCAGAGTACAAGAATTCCAACCTCAATTTATGGGCTGCATAACCTTAGTTAACTCCTTTAAGCTTCCTGGGCCCCAATTGCCTCATATGTAAAATGGAGGTATTTGCATCTATCTGATGGGGTTATTGAGACAACCAAATGAAATAATCTTATGTCCAGCGTTTGGCCTATAATCAGTGCTAAATAAGATGTTCACTGTGCTATTATTGCTGCTATGCCATCATCATCATCATTATTATTTCCCTGTGCTGCTGCCTCTCCAAAACACAATATCCTAAGAGGGCAAATTGTATGTTGAATAAAAATGCTAGAGATGCTCATTTGCACAGCACATTCATGGGACCATGAGCTCCTCACTCTTGCTGGAGTGGAGAGTTCCTGCAAAAGAGTAGTGGGTGATAAGACTACAGACAGATGCAGAGCTGCATTGCACTGAAAGCTTTGAATTCCCTGGGAGATGGGCTCAATTGGGCCCTGGCAGGGACCTGCCTCGGGGGGTGGCAGTCACAGAACTATTCCCAGCCGCTGTGCTTCTCATCCTCGCCCCAACACAAAAGGGAAGGATGAGTGACACCTCAAACAACTTTGGAGAGTCTAACAACAATTTTCAACTTCAAACAGGCCACACATAAAAGTTGAAGACTTTTGCTACAAACCCAACCACTGGGAAATCACTGCCTGGCTGACATTAATTCCCCAGCCACTGTGAAGCCGTTACTGAAAATGCAACTTTTTTTATTCCAAGTCCTTTAACATTTCAATCTAGGGCATTGGCAATGTGGAACAAATCCAGGTCAGGTCCTGCTTTAATCCCCAAACTGAGTATCAGTGTTAAGTCCACAAGGAATTAAGACTCAGAGGTGAGGGCAGGGAAAGACAAAGGGCAATAGGAAGTTATTTAGATACCACTAGAATTGTCTTTCTTTATATTAGGATCAATATATGATTTGGGTTGCTATTATTTTTGTTGGCACTGAGTTTCCAATTTTTAATCTCCTATTACATTCATGTAGCATTTTAGAGTCTATAAATCTGATCTATGTATTATCCTCTGATTTCATTTGCTTTGTGGGGATTGAACAAGTTAGGCTGCAGAATGATGAGGTTAGGAAAAATAGGAGCCTCCAAGATCATCCTACTTTTGTTTTAGCGTGAGCCATCTCAGAAAGTGTTCGCCATGGCTTCACTGCCAGGCAATGTCAGAATTTGGAACAGCTTCCACATCACCAGAGGTCTAGACTTCAAAGTGGAAATCATTCACTGACTTTCTGTTAGTGCAATGGTGTGTGGCACTGGAGACTGGGGTAAAGGTACAACCCTTATTTTAGAGGAGGTTTCAGTCTTGTGGAAAAATAAACAGCTCCCTAGGTAATCATAAGCAGTGGAGAGCAAATGAGGTACAGTTAAATACAAGTTGGGGTAGAAATGTCCATGCTCAGCGTTTCATGGGACAGGTTGAAAGATAGTTTTAATGTTTGGGGATAAATATGGCATAAGCCTATTGTTTAAAAAAAAATCACATAGAAAAGTAAAAGAAAAAAAGTAGATTGTAACTTCAGACCCCACTATTCAGAGATAAAACAATGTTAAAATCCTATTTAACATTCTTGAGATATCTCTCTGTAGTCATCTGATTTTGCAGAGCTGTATGAATGGGAATAGCTGTAGATACAGAGATTCATATGTGAAACCACTCTACACGTGCTGATTTGTAAACCTCTTTTTTATTTTAGAATATCACATCAACAAATTTTAATGTCAATAAAAATAGAATTGTCACATCATTAAAAAAAACTTGAATCCTATTTCACTGTATGGATATACCATGTTTAGCCAGTACCCTTTTGATAGTCATTTTAGTAGTTTGCAGTTCTTCATCATTTATTAGCAATGACGTGATGTTCATCCTTCTGTGCACATCTTGTATACTTAGGTGAATGCCTCTTTAGGGTAAATTTCTAGAAATGGGATTGTTTTGGATGACTCACACTTAGGACTTGACAAAAATGGCCAAATTGCCTGATAGGCTACTTTTAAAGTTTCAGGTCCCAGACATCTGGTTGTGGGGTAGTCTTTTCTGCCTTGAAGCTCACTCTTAGCTCCCTGGAACTTGCAAGAAAGGTCAAGGTAGAAAGAATGTGGAGCGAGAAACACACCTAACACGTGCCTGGTTCTGCAGGCTTTTTATGCACATCATCTAGTGTAAGTCAAACGTCATTCTCAGGAAATTGGTATCATCCTGGTCACTTGATATAAAAGAAGGGCTGGGAAGCTCAGAAGCTGGGTCAAGTTGTTTTCTTTTCTTTTTCTTTTCTTTTTTTTCTTTTCTTTTTTTTTTTTTTTTTTGAGACAGAGTCTTGCTCTGTTGCCCAGGCTGGAGTATAGTGGCACAATCTCGGCTCACTGCAACCTCTGCCTCCCCGGTTCAAGCGATTCTCCTGCCTTAACCTCCCAAGTAGCTGGGACTACAGGCATGGGCCACCATGCCCAGGTGACCTTTTTTTTTTTTTGTATTTTTAGTAGAGACAAGGTCACCATTTTGGCCAGGCTGGTCTCAAACTCCTGACCTCAGGTGATCTGCTTGCCTCGGCCCCCTAAAGTGCTGGGATTACAGGCCTGAGCCACTGTGTCCAGCCTGAAGCTGGGTCAATTTCTTAATTTCTCAAAGAAAGAGAGAAGTTCAACACTGAAACTTGGGCGTTCATGGAGTTACAAGATGCCCTGGAGACTTAGAAGATGAGTGATGGAAGTAGGGTGAAGAGAACAAGCTTTATTTACTTTGAATGTTTGCCCCAAACTCCACTTTGTCCTAGTCCTACTAACACTCATTAAAAACCAGCACTATGTATGAGAGCTGTGCCACTGCTCTCTCTGTAACTGGCAGCGCTTGCTTAAGGCTCCTAAGATTGGCTCCTTATGGGGTTGGCTTTTTCATGAGCTTCGGTGTGAGAAACAGGTAAGTTTCCTACTTCTCTAAGATCTTAATATAGGAAAAATTAGCCAGAAGCTTGTGAGGGGAAGCTAGCCAAGGTGTGTGTTTGCTGGAAATAAAATCAGTGGGCCTTCCAGGGCTGGGGGAATGGACGTGGGGGTATTTCTTCACCATCTGTCTCAGTCTCCAATGTGTCTTGATAGATGGTTTTCCCCTATAACCCATTAGTCACCTCATTCCTCTCCCTGAGCTCTGTTTTTTGAAATATGGTTATCTCATTTGAATAGCAATGAGTAAGTGCATTGGAACCTACTTGAATGCATTCTAAAAGCATTAAACTTGGAACATACAATTCAGTGACATACAAATTGCCAAACTATAGTAAAAATTGAAGTGATTAAAACAATTTAATGGCATGAACATGTATCCAGAAAGGAAGAGACAGAAAGAGAGAGAGAGAGAGAGAGAGAGAGAGAGAGAGAGAGAGAGAAATTTTTTCCAGTGCAGCGTCAGCCCAGTGGTTGATATTTCGGAAGAAGTGGGTGGAGGCCATTGCCAAGAGAAAGTGAAATAATTGATGAAGACCCAAAGGAAAATGCCCTTGATCTTGAAGTTATTACTTCATTTCATGAAATACGCTATAGTCGGTGAAAGACTATAAAGTCAGAAAGTCAATTGTTTTTTTCCCCTTGGATACAATTCCAATATGTGCATATAAACATGTCAGAAAGTTCTCTAAAAGAAAAGTATAGCTTGGGATCTAGGTCATGCTTTCAAATAGCCTTATTATACCCGTTATGAAGTGGACACTCAGGTATTTGGCTTGGAACTTTTATCCACACCCAAATGGCTGGGTGATTTATAACTTGCTATCCACATTCTCATAGCTGTTTGGTCAACGCAAAGGCCTCAAATTAGGCTTGAAGTTTATTAGAAAATACACACACACACACACACACACACACACACACAGTCTCTGAACTATCATTCAGCAAATGATGTCATAAGCTAACCACTATTTCCAAGTACCTTTGCACTGGAGCTACATTTTAATTATATGTTCTTCCTCCCTCCTTCCCTCCCTCCGTCCCTCCCTCTCTCCCTCCCTCCTTCCTTCTCTTCCTCCCTCTCTCCTGATGTTCTTTCCTTTCTCCCTTCCTTTCTTCTTTTCTTTCTTCCTTTCTATTTTTATTCTTTTCCCTGTCCCTCTCTCTGCTCCGTCCCCTTCTCTTTCTCCTCCTCGTTCTTCTTTTTAACATTCATAGCACGGGAAATAAATGATTGACTTCTTCTTGTCTTATTCCAACCGATTTCGTTCTCTTTTGTTTTGGAAATAGTGCTAAAAACCTCAGGAGGAAATGTTTTTTGTTCAGTGACTGATCTTGATACTTCCTGCTTCTTGTCAAGCCAGAAATAGCTCCTCAACAACTGCAACCAGGGAGTAGCAAGAAGTGCAAAAATGAAATAAAAATCTGTGTATTTCTCCACACAGAAAAAAAAATCCATTTGTTCATTCATAAATAAATAAATATTGATTGGACTCCTCTGATGATAGGTCTTGTGCCCATGCTGGGGCTACACCAACAGACAGAAAAAGAGATGATTCCTCATATCACTGAGCTCAGAGTCCAGCTGATCAATACTTACCTTGAGAAACAGTGCTGTGGACATGATTACTCTTCCAGGTAACAGGAGGAACATTTGTTTCTCCACGTGTGTCACCATGGGGTCTGGAAGAATTAACACCATCTTCAGCTAAGAGTCAAGCCCTAACTGATCTAAATTGATTAATATAATCTTATCCCTATAGCACAGTATAGTACAATTATTGTGTCAGAGATGGACACATGAACTGTGTTGGTTCAATCAGAGATAGTATCTTCGCTTAATGATCAAGAAAGGAGAACCAACTTCTCTCTCTCTCTCTCTCTCTCTCTCCCCGCCCACCTCCCACCCTCTTTCTCTCCTCATTATCTTCCTCCCCATTCCTGCTGAATGTGAATGAGAAAGTAACAAGGCATACTGTGGCTATGAAGGGCCTAAAGTGAAAATGGAAAGCAGAAAGAAATCAGGTCCTTGGTAACATAGTAAGCTGCTGGATCAAACCCTATCTAAAGCTTCTTGATGTTCAACTCCTTCATCTAGATACAGGTTTTACTTGCATTTCCTACCCCTTAGAGGTGAATGAATACTGATACACACAGGGATATATGACTTATTCAACAATTTGAGAAATACAATAATGTACTCACAAAAATGTTCCATGTAACTGAAATGACACTTTATCAAATATACTTGATTTATTTTTTATAATCATTATTCTAAATTATATTATACACATTGGTGCCTCAAAAATTATGCCAAATAAAAGATGTGAGAAGTACTCATATAATCCTAAATACCTCCTCCACGTTCCATAGTACACTGATGCCTTTGCAAATGACCGACGTGGATCAGATTGTTGTCTACATGATAATATTTCTGAATACTGTCCTTTTTTAAAAGCTGCATTTTGGAGTTTTGCAGTTATATTCTAAGCTTTAAAGCTGCATTTTGGAGTTTTGCAGTTATATTCTAAGCTTCCAGCTTCCACTCTGTGTGAAGATCATGATGCCAGCCTTTAATAGCTATTTCTTCCATATAAATTACTGCTTCTAAATCTCTTACAAGCTGGGAAACCATATTACTGAGTTTGTTAGAATTGTTTTTAAAACAAGAGTGAATGGACACTACGTAAATGCCTTGGAGGCAGGTGGCATGCAGCAAGTCTCCTGTCTATTACATATTATTATTATTATTATTATTATTATTATTATTATTATTATTTTGAGACAAAGTCTCGCTCTGTCACCCAGGCTAGAGTACAGTGGCGTGATCTTGGCTCACTGCAAGCTCCACCTCCCGGGTTCATGCCATTCTCCTGCCTCAGCCTCCTGAGTAGCTGGGACTACAGGCACCCGCCACCACGCCCAGCTAATTTTTTTTTTTTTTTTTTTGTATTATTAGTAGAGATGGGTTTTCACCGTGTAAGCCAGGATGTTCTCGATCTCCTGACCTCATGATCCACCCGCCTTGGCCTACCAAAGTGCTGGGATTACAGGCATGAGCCACTGCGCCCAGCCCCTGTCTATTACATATTCTTAACCCTATTGTTGGAACTCTAAGGCTCCATGTTGAGGCCTGAGAAGTCAACACAGGAGATAAAAAGACAATAGAGCTGTGGGATCCTGGGAATACCCCCTTCCCAATTCTGCTTCAATCAGTGCATTTCCATTTTTATCTGTTTTATATAACAGAGTTCAGAAAAAGATTTCATTTGAAATAAAGATTCAATTCTTTAAAGGAAAAAAGAAATGCTCCCCTATACCAGTATATATGATGGAATACTGTACTAGTTATTTTCAGGTAGAGTATTTTCCATAGCAGAGGTAACGTCTTGGTTTTGGAAACTTATCTACACAGTTCCAGTGAAGAGAAATAAGAAATAAGAATTGCAGTCTCTACCTAGTGGACAATGGCTTAATTTAGTTTTACTGATGTTGGTTATTCAAATCTCACCTCAACAAAATGCATCTTTGCAAGGTCAACAGTTTATTCTGTTCCATTAAATCTAAGGTGTTATCAACATATAAGATATAAGGTGTTATGTAAGATATACCATTATTGTATGTAGAACTAAGAAAGAAAAAGCATGGCCAGTTAAACCATACACTGCGCATATCTTTTGTGCACCACTTCACATATGACAGTTCTGTGCAGTGTTTGGCCTGCTTCTGATTGCTTCCTGCCCCAGAATTTCTCTGACACTGCACTGCAGAATGACAGGAGCCTTGACATTTACACACCTGCAACTTAAGGATGTGGGGAGGTCATGCTCCATGGAGCAACCCACAACCAACTGTAGACAACGTCCTCACAACAGATGATTCTAAGCCAAATTTCATAAATCTCTCCACAGAAGGTCCTGGGTGAATTACTAGTCACATACAGGCTAGGTCATTCAATAACATCACCTTGCATTGATTTTCCCCCCTTCTTGTTCACTTGCTCTCTCCTGGCCCTAGAAATCCATTCTCAAATAAGCTACCTGCATGCAAACCTTTGTCTTAGGCAGGTATTGTGAATTGTAAAACATACCCCAATTTCAGAGATGCTAAATATTTTCATCTAAGAATCATGAAATATGGTAATTTATGAGAATAAAAGACAAATTTGTTAAGTAAACAGGTTGATATCAAAGACTGTCACCCTATAAATAAATAAATAAATAGCACTGCAATTTTATTTGTAAATGGCTCTGCTTTGCATCTCATCTACAGCCCGGGCAATGTTCCACAATGAGCACAATGATGACACTTTGCCCCTGTAAGCTCCTCAGGCTACAAAGAGGGATTAGAGAGTTCACTTCACTCTCTGCAGAGAAGCAGAAAAGTCAGTGAGAGACTTTTATGATCTCCCTCCATACCTGTTCCTCCTCTGTTAAATAAATGGCACTTCCATCCACCCAGGTGTCCATAACAGAAACTAGAAATCATCACTCATAACTCTTTTCAAGAAATAATGCTCAATTTATTATCAAGTTATATAAAGTCTGCTTCCTTAGAATTTCTCAAATCTGTATAATTCACCATATCTTCACTGCACCATGTATTTCATGCCACCAGTATGTTTCCCTGGGCATTCATTGCCTCTAAACTGGTCTCCTACTTCTACTTTACCCTACTCCAACCCATTTTCCATACTATTCTTTTCATCCGTCAGTCCGTCCATTCGTCCATCTGTTCGTCCGTCCATCCATCCATCCATCCCTCCATATGTCCATCCATCCATATGTCCATCCATCCATCTGTCCATCCATCTGCCCATCCATTCATCCATCCATCCATCCATCCATCCATCATCCATCTGTCCATCCATCCATATGTCTGTCCACCCATTTATCATCCATTACTTTGTCAAATAATTATTGAATGTTTATATGTAGGCACTGTGCCAGAGTTTGAGGAGTCAATGTTGAACAAGAA